GAGATTGCAGAAGGGCTGCAGGCTGGTTTGGGGAGCTGCTGTTGGCAGATCCTGAAGCCATGTTGTGCAGCACTGCCTGCAGACCCTCTGTGGGTGGTGAGTGCTCCAACCCACTGCAGGCTGCTTGGCTTCTGTGGTGTTCCAGCAAGTCCGGATGTAGTGGAGGGCATCTGGGGGAGGCTGTGCCTGTGTGCTCTGGGCGGCCCTGGCCTCCTGTGTGTCCTCCCAGCAGCCACCGTGGGGCAGCCCTGGCTGTCAGCTGGCCTTGCTGAAGGGTGTGAATGAACCTGCCTGCTCTTGATGCTGAATTTCCTCCTGCTGGCTCGTTTGATGCCTCCTTGCCCTTTACAGCCAGCTGCTGGATTTATTGCTTTGCAGTTCCGTGCAAAAAAAAAACCTTGACTGCTTTGAATCGCCCCAAGAGATGGCACTCTTGGCACAGCTCCTACAGCAGCAGCACCTCCTGCACTGCCCTGCTCCCAGCACACACTGCAAGGTCGTGGGGGGGGGGGAGATGAGAAATTACCCCCCCTGAGGGCAGAGCCGTGGGACCTCGTGTCTGTTGGCTGCGTTTGAGGTCTGCGCTGTGGGCAGAGCATGAATGCATTCGGTGATGACTTTCTTCTGCAGCTCATAAAAGATTCATAGCGAGAGCGCGGCCTAAAAAAAGCTTTGCTGTGGCCTTGTCTCCTCTGGTTTAGTTACCTGAACGACTTGGATAGAATATCCCAGCCGACCTACATTCCGACTCAGCAGGACGTGCTGCGCACCAGGGTGAAAACGACAGGCATTGTGGAGACACACTTCACCTTCAAGGACCTCTACTTCAAGTAAGCCAAGGGCTTGGCGTCCTGGGGGCTGCAGTGGTTTCCTGGGGGCTGGGGGGGGATCCAGACCCCCAGCAAAGCACCTCCTGAGCGCCGCTGCTCCCCGTGTGCCAGCGCTGCTCTCTGGTTTGACTTTTCTTTGCCTTCTTCTGTTCTTTCCAGCTGCTTTTGTGTTGGACTCGCAGACACAGGTACTGGCTGCTTGTTCGCAGGATCAGAACAGCAACAGATACTAAAAGGGTGCTGATTCCTGGCTGCTGAGTTTTGAGTGGAACCCCTTTCTTTGGTGTGGGAGCTGAGGGCTGGCCCTGAGGCCCTGGCCTGGACGTGGTGCTGCTGTGTGCACACAGGAGTGCTGTAGGGACTCCTGGCCCTCTGTGTCCCCTGCCTTGCTGGCTCCCAGCAGTGCCCCTGTCAGCGTGACCCATAGAGCTCCCTCTGCCCCATAGCAGCTGCTGGAGTGCAGCTGAGCTCCCTGCCCTTAGCACTCAGCCCTCCCTGCTGTGTGTCCCAATCCCAGCAGGCAGCCCCAGCCCTGGATGGAGGAGCACTGTGTTGTGTTGTGGGTGAGTTTCCCTTCATCCTCTGGCCCTGTTTTCAAGCTGTTGTTGCTCCAAGCCTCTAAATAAGCATTTACTGGCTTACTTTTAGCTTGTGTTTGAAAAGAGCTCTAGCAAAACTCCGTGTGTTGCTTATAGAACGTGGTTTGCTTGCATGCCCTTTAGGAGAACAGCAGTGCTTTGGCTTCTGTCATAACTCACAAATGGTTTCAGCAGAAGTGTTTTGCACCGTGGCGCTGTTTAACGTGGCTGCTGGTTCATCCAGGGAAGCTTTGTCTTCCATCACAACGTGCTGGGATGTGTTTCCAGCTGCAGGGCGCAGGGCTCTTGGCGTGTGATGGATGGGAGCTGCTGGGGGCAGCAGGCTCCCTTCAGCATCACAGCCCTTCTGCTGCCTGCAGACGGGGGGCTGCTCCTTCCCTGCCCTCCTGGAGGCAGGAGGTGTTTGTCATGGAGGGGTTTTGCTCCACAAAGGAAGCAGGGAGCTGCCTTCCCCCTGTGGTGGTGTTAAGGCTCAGCTGTTTGCAGTGGGTCGAGGTGACTTGAATGTGGATCGGTTCGAGGCCGACTTGCCAGGGATGCCATTTCCTTCCAGATGAATCCGTGCTAACAGCAGCTGTGCTGGAATGGCAGGAGCTGAGCAAATAGCCTCTATCTGTGCAGAGATCTTCCTCTTTCCTTCTGGGAAGCAGCAGGCATTTGCCTTAAATAGAAGGCTGGAGTTGGCAGAGCTGCTCTTGCCGCTCCCTGCTTTGACGTCGCTGCTCCTCTGGGCCTGGCTGCACAGTGCCCCTCTTGTCCGTGTGTTTGCTGCGATAACAAATCCATGCTTGTGATTTCTGTGGCTCTTGGATACGTGATGGATTGGAAGGGGCTGGGCAGCCCTGAGCCTCAGCAGAGCAGAGTGCTGCCATCAGCCACGGTGCTGCAGCGTCCTCATGGCTGGGAGCTCCTGCACCTGAGATCTGAACTGCAGCACCTCACCTGGTTGTTTCTGTCTTTGTTTCCATACATAAAAGCATTCCTTGGCCTCACGGTGTTTTTGCACTCTGCTCTCAGCAGCGTGCAGGTAGATAGCAGTGCTCCACATAAGCCTTTGTCAGGCTCAGCGTAAATGAACTGGAAGAGCTGATGTGAGGAGGTGTTTGGAGGCCAGTCAAGCAAACGGATTGTTGCTAAGGAAATGGGAGGCAGGGAACAAAACAAGCAGGGCCCCGTGAATCAGCAGCTGACGGCTGAACCTCGAGCTGTTCTGCTGGAATGGCTCTGAAGAGAATCGGAGCCCGGTGCGGTTCTGAGGGAGGGGGCTCTGGGTTGCTCCCAGGCTTTGTGCCTGGTTTGCCCTGCATCCCCCTCGTCTGCAGGCCCTTTGTGAGCCTCCCCCACCTCCCGTGTCAGGGCAGGGCTCTGTGTGGGCTCTCAGTCTGTGCTGTGCCTCTGCAGGATGTTTGATGTCGGTGGGCAGCGGTCGGAGCGCAAGAAGTGGATCCACTGCTTTGAAGGTGTCACAGCAATCATCTTCTGTGTGGCCCTCAGCGATTATGACCTCGTCTTGGCCGAGGATGAAGAAATGGTACAGCATGGGGCTTTGGGGGGGAGCTGGAAGCAGGCTCAGGCTGTGCCGGGCCTGGTGCTGCGGTCTGGTCCTCGTAAAGCCTGTCTGCCCCTGACTAACTGCACTGCTGCATCACCCTCTTCCTCCATTCTGCCTTTCAGAACCGAATGCACGAGAGCATGAAACTGTTTGACAGCATCTGTAACAACAAATGGTTCACAGACACCTCCATCATTCTTTTCCTGAACAAGAAGGACCTGTTTGAGGAGAAGATTAAGAAGAGCCCGCTAACGATCTGCTACCCAGAGTACACAGGTGGGGGGCACAGAGACAGGGGGGAGGGGGGCACACACACACAGGTGGGGGCACACGTGGGGCTCTCCTGTCTCCAGGCTCAGGAGGAGCCTCTGCAGTCCCTGGCTCTGTCCTGTGGCTGCAGCTCTGTCTGTAGGGCGCGTGCTGGCAGCCCAGCCCCTGTCTGTTCACCCAGGGGATGCGGTGGTGCACAGCCTGCGGCTGCTGATCCCTTGTGGGTCTCCTGGCTGTGAGATGTGTGCTGCTGGCACCTCACCGAGCTGAGATCAGCGGCTGGGAGCAGAGCTGAGGGTTGCAGGGCAGGGTTAACGGTGGGTTGGGTTTGGAGCTGGATGAGGCAGATGGCTGCGAGCCGGGTAGAAACTCAGTGCTGTGAACTGCTGGCTGAATGGAGGCACTGATTGATCTGTGCCAGGCTCCAACACGTACGAGGAGGCGGCCGCCTACATCCAGTGTCAGTTTGAGGACCTGAACAGGAGGAAAGACACCAAGGAGATCTACACGCACTTCACCTGCGCCACCGACACCAAGAACGTGCAGTTCGTGTTCGACGCCGTGACGGACGTCATCATCAAGAACAACCTGAAGGAGTGCGGCCTCTACTGAAGGTAAAGCCGAGCGGCTGGGGCTGGGCTGGGCTGCGCTGCTGCCTCTCACCTGGCCGCTCTCCCTGCAGTTCTTCCGGAGCGCCCTTGGCAGAAGCAGACTTTGCTGCCTCGCGGGGGGACGGCGGCGTGAGCGGGACCAGGGGGCTGAAAGCAGCATGCAGAATCGTCGCGTTCTTTAGCACAACCTTCTGTATTTGGGACCTTTGAGTTGGTGGGGTGTCGAGGTTGGGTCAGGGCGGCCCTGGCTGGGCTCTGCGTCGCCCTGATGTCGTCTGGATGGCGTGACCCAAACGTGTACAGCTGTTGTGGATCGAGGTGCTGGGTTCCAGGCCTTCCATATGTAGCTTTCTCTCTTTCTTTGGTTACCAAACCACCACTAGTCTGTTTTTAAGGTGTTTTGTTTCATTATTATTATTTTTTTTTTTTTCCCATTGAGAAAACCGTAACTTTACTAAACTGCCTTTCTTTCTTCGCAGAAGATTCTTGTTTTAAACAAAATAAAAACCAACAGAAACTATCACTGATCTATGCACACGTGAGCAGACCGTGCCCAAGCGCTCCTCTTAGCAGGACCTCTCTGTTTTTAACACTTGGTATTTCTGCCCTGTCTCCCAGGCCCTGGTGCTGTGGCCACGCGTTGGCAGCGCACGGCGAGGGCAGGAGCAGTGCTGATGTCGGTGGGCAGGCTGAGCTCTGTGCTGCTGGAGGCCGATGGCCCACGGCCTTTCGGTGCGGGGTCTGTGTGGACAGCATGCCTTTACTCTGTCTATGTGGTGCCAAATCCCCCTTTGCCATCGTTTTCCCCGTCGTGACGTTCGTGCCCCGTCGCTCCGTTCCTTTGCTGAAGCGTCACCTCGGGGCTCTTTCTCATTGTGTACAGTTCTGATCTGTTGTAGCTGTTGGCAGTATTAAAGTGGTGAGTGAACGCTTGGGTCCTTTCCCTGCTTTGTGCCTCGTTGTGCTGCTCTCCCTGCGCTGTGCTCCTTGGCTGGGGGGCAGTGGGGGGGGGTTGGTGTGTCTCAAAGCCCCTGGGCTGAGGGGTGCCCTGCTGTGATGTGGGAGCAGCAGGAGGTGCGGGGCTCCCGTGCCTCCATCCTTCAGCACAGCACACACAACACATCCATTCGTGCACATCTCTTTATTGTGTCAGTTTGGTTTTTCCTAAGCGAAGCTGCGCCCGTGGCTGAACAGTGAGAGCATGCAGGGCTCCTCTACGGCAGGACGGATTTATTTACAAGCAGCCAAGAGCAAATCGAGCTCTGAGCAGCACGGTGCCCAGCGCCCCAGCGCCCGTTTCCTCTTCCGCTGCGCTGAGCTCTGCGTAGGGGAGCCCAGCTGGGTGCTGCCCCAGAGGAAACAGCCGAGATGTGGGGCAGGCAGGGCAGCTGGGGCCCCTCCTGGCCTGGGCTCGGATGTGGGGGGCAGCTTATAGAAAAAAAACAGGGGGCTGGGGAACTCCGTGTTGTCCTTTTGGCTCTGCTCAGCAGACGGTGAGGTGGAACTGCAGCCGGCTCTTCTGAGGTGGGAAGAGAGAAGGGAAACTTCCCCATTGCTGCCAGCTCTTTGGGGCTGGGGTCGCAGCCCCCACGAGGTGCCTCCCCCCCCCCCCCGCCCCCCCTACCTGCTCAGAAGAGACCGCAGTCCTTGAGGTTCTCCTTGATGATGACATCTGTGACGGCGTCGAAGACGAACTTGACGTTCTGCGTGTCTGTGGCACAGGTCATGTGGCTGTAGATCTCCTTCACGTCCTTCCGCATGTTGAGATCCAGGAATTGGGTCTTGATGTAATTCCCTGCATCTTCGAACGTGTTGGGACCTGGGCAGGGAGCAGCAGGGCTGGGGCTGGGGGCTCCCTGGAGCCGTCGCCGCTCTCCGTCCTGGTGCCGCAGCCCCCCTTCCCCATCTGCCCCCCATCGCTCACCATCGTACTCAGGGAAGCAGATGCTGAGGTGCACCTTCTTGATCTTCTCCTCGAAGAGATCCTTCTTGTTGAGGAAGAGGATGATGGACGTGGCGGCGAAGAACTTGTGGTTGCATATGCTGTTGAAGAGGTGCAGGGATTCGTGCATGCGGTTCTGCCAGCGAAAAGGGGACAAGAGTGGGGCTGTGGGCAGAGCTTCCCAAAGCAGCCCTGCTGTGAGGAAATGCACTTTCCCGGCCCTGCAGCCCCCGGTCCCACGTCCCCACTGCAGTTTCCCCCCCGTCCCTCACTCACCACCTCATCATCCTCCACCAGCACCATGTCGTAGGCGCTCAGCGCCCCGCAGAAGATGATGCACGTCACCCCCTCAAAGCAGTGGATCCATTTCTTGCGCTCTGATCTCTGCCCCCCGACGTCAAACATCCTAAAGGGGAGGGGGGGAGCCGCAGGGGCAGGTTGTGTCAGCTGTGTCACCTCCCTTGCGACCGCCAGGGGGGAGGTGACATCTGCTGCTACGTGGGTTGGTGGCCCCGGGCACGTTTTCCTCCCCCCGGGGGGCTGCAGCCGCACCTGAAGTTGAGGTCCTTAACGGAGAACTTGGTCTCGATGATGCCGGTTGTCTTCACGCGGGAGCGCAGCACGTCCTGCTCGTTGGGGAGGTACCCGGGGGCCGTGATGCGGTCCAGCTGGTTCAGGTAGCTGCAGGGACAGCCGTGTGCCGTGGGGGTCGCTGCGCTCCCCAGGGTTATTTGGGGGAGGGGGGGGTCGGGGCGGTGCTCACTATGCGGCCGAGTCGTTGAGCTGATACTCGGCAGCCCGGTCGAAGCACGCCTGCACGCCGCCGTCCTTCCACAGCTTCTTGATGCAGTCCACCAGCTCCGGGGGCATCGTGCCCTCCTCGATGGAGTCCGCCAGGTTGAAGAGCTGCCTCCCGTCGTCCTGCGGGGACGCGCTGCCCTTCAACACCTCGTCCCCTCCCCTCCGCCGCCACCGCCTCCCCCTTTGCCCCTCACCCACCGCCCGTCCCGACTCGGCGTAGTCGATGCCCAGCGTGGTCATGGCGCGGATGATGGCCAGGATGGACTGCAGGATGTTCCCGTAGATGACGGCTTTGAACTCCATGCATTCCTCAGGTGTGTATCCATCCTGGTGGATGATCCTGGGGGGGGGACGTTGGCCGTACCGTCAGGCTGCTCCCTGCCTCCCCAGCACAGCTCCGTTCTGCTCTGGGGGCGCCGGGCGGCAGGGAGACCCCGACCCCACAGCGCCCCGCAATGGGGGGAAGCATCTGGCCCGCAAGGACGCTGCCCCACTCACTTCATCTGCTTCACGATGGTGCTCTTCCCCGATTCTCCGGCCCCTGTGGAAAGAGTGGGGGACACCTCAGCCAGGAAGGACCCCAGCCATGGGTGCTGCAGGGACTCCCATGGGGCTGGGCGCCCACCGTGGCGGTGCGGGGCTCCGATGCTGTAAGCAGCTTAGGGCAGCACAGGAAGCTGCTTAGAATTAGGGCGCTAATCGCCTTCACCCTGTGCCCCCCGCCCCTCAGCTCTGCCACCGCTGCCACTTGCTGCCCCCCGGCCCTGTGCTGGAGGGGGGGGTTGGTCCCTTCCTGTGCCCATCATGGGGCTTTGGAGATGCCGTGGTCGCACCCCCCGCAGGTGTCACCGCTCCATTCCCTGTGCCCACGTTGTCCCTTTGGTGCCCAGCACCCGTCCGTGTGCCACAGGGCCAGGGCTGAGGGGGCACCCAGCTCATAAGGAGGGGATGGGGATGGAGATGGGGTGGGGATGGGACATAGGAGAAAGAAGGTTGGGATGGGGTGGAGTGCGATGAGGATGAAGTGAGGATGGGGATGGCGTGAGGGTGGGATGGAGATGGGGATGGGATGGGATGGGATGGGATGGGATGGGGGCTGGGTGTCCTCCTATGGGACCCCCAGGACACCCTTCTCCCCACGCCTCCCCGCTCCCCATTACTTCTCCATGCCCATCCCCACCCTCAGCGGGATCCCAGTGCCGCACATGGGGCCACGGGAACAATCCCCATACCCTCCCTGTTCCCAAGCATAAAGAATAAAGACATGGGGACAATTTCACGTCCCCACAGGGTGTCCCCCCCCCCCCTTCCACCCTACCGAGCAGCAGCAGCTTCACCGTCTTCGCCTCCTTATCCGCATCCTCCTGCAGCTTCTTCTCCAGCTCCTTGGACCTCTTGGCCATCTCCTTGTCCTCGGCGCTCGCCCCGCTCCCCATCTCCTCGTCCTCCTCTGCCAAAGCTTCGAGCTCCTCCAGGTCCCCGCGCTCTTCCAGGTCTCCTCGGGTTGGGTGCACGCACCCCTGGGGATGCGGGCAGAGAAATGCTTTTAGGGGGGGG